TCATAACTTCATTCACACTGCCATTGAGAGCGTGTTCACACACAACCTGTAAAAATACTAGAGCCAGACTGATATATCGGCAGACCGATATTAGGCATTTTCCAAACTATTTACTAGGGATGTCCCGATCCGATCCACGGCATCGGTATCGCGCCGATACCGGCCCAGAACGCTAGATCGGAGATCGGAGGGGAGAAAAAAATATGAGCGATATCCAGTTTAGCGGCGCAGCCTGTCACGTGATGATTGTTGTGTTTACGCACACGCGCGCAGAGAATCACTCTCGCTTTGCCGACGGATTATAATGTAATCGGATGATTCCACCCACAAAAGCTGCATTTCAGTCTTTTCAGAAATTCATTGGCTATCAGAAAATAGCGTCATTTCATTCTCTATTGCAACTGGATAGATAAACTGTCACTCAAAGAGAGGTAGGTACCTTCACCAGGCACGCTCGTTGGCTGTTGGGAGTTTAGAAGACACCCCTAACACTCGCCGATTGGCTAAAATGACCTGTCAATCAATAGTTCATGGGTCAGCGGCCATTTTGACATTCTTTTTTCTCCAATGTTTACGTTTCAACTGAAGTTAGACGGATCAATAGTGTTGTGCTACGTTCACACCGGACGCGAATCACGCGTCAAATTCGCGCCTGACGCGTCTAGTTTGACGCTTGACCACTAGTGTTAATTCGCGTGTCAAGAGCGAAACTGGCGCGCGTAAAGTTTGAAGCGAAATTTACGCGCGTCAGAATCAAAATCCGTTGGCGGTCATTGTTTTTATGTCGACCGAGCATTCATCAAGAGAGTTACCGCTCTGTATTTACTCTGGATAGCAGAACAGCGGCGTGGGGATCATCGTCGCCGTATATTTGTGTCCACCGGACCCTTCGGAGCCGAACCGTTTGGCGAGTTTCACCATTCGCTCGCTCCAGGAGCTGCGCTGGATGACGGCCGCTGTCAGCGGTACTTCCGCCTGTCACGCGCCCAGTTTGATGACCTGTTGTCCCGCATCGGAGAGAGGATCACCCTCGCCCGGCCCCTCATCCATCTAATCTAGCTGTCATTTATTTTTGTTTTGATAATAAATAGAGCCAGCCTTCAAAAGTTATTACCCTGTCCTGTGATTTTTTTTCTCTCTCTCACGTCCAGACACGAATTTATGCACATATGTTGATTGTCTTTACAACATAATACTATTTCTAGATATGGAATGAATAACATTCAATACAAAATGAACATGTCTCCATATAGAAATAATGTTTTAAGTGATGAAACATTTGCTTTGTTGTGCATAATCCCACCATGCATTTAGTCATATTAACAAAATAATTTATTGAAGCATCCAGACACTTCACCACGTGAGCAAGCAGCTAGGCTCCTGATTGGTTAACGCGGCGCGAATTCACGCCAAAGTTCAGATTTTTCAACTCGGGCGGCAGACGCGAATTCGCGTCAAACGCGTGAATGCACAACGCTCAATTCGCGCCATTTCGCGCCAACTTGACGCGCGAATGAGGCGTATTCGCGTCTTCCGCGCCGCGCTCCACGCCTCATTAGCGCCGCAGGAATTTTCTTGCATTGACTTAACATTGAAATCATTTGCGCCTGACGCCCTATTCGCGTCCGGTGTGAACGTAGCATTAGTGCGTCGAAGTTGTGATAGCGCTGTCGGCTAACGCGAAATGCTACTATTTACATTCCATGGATGTTTATTCATATATACAATGTTTTGGACTAAAAACTTCTTCAAATTGGATTGTATGGACGCTTTACAGTGAAACCAAACCATTTTTGTTGGAATGTGGACTAACAGATGGCTAATTGGTGAGTTTCTTCCAGTTTGTGTTGGTTTGTTTTGGCTGTTGGTGGTCTGACAAAGAGACAGATTGTGCCCGCTGTGTTGATTGTATCTTAAAATGGTTTACGTCGTTCGAATCACGAGTTTCTCAGCTTTCCAAAGATATGTATTATGTTTACTTTTGTGTTTGTTTTGTTTTGTCTTTCACAAAGTTAAACCTATAAACCACCCTGTGGGCCGTATACGGCACGTCGGACCACGAAAAAAAAAATATCGGACTAATATCGGTATCGGCAAAAGCCAAAGGTGCGGCATCGGTATCGGTATCGGAAGTGAAAAAGTGGTATCGGGACATCCCTACTATTTACTGGCCGATAAATGAATATTTCAAAAATAAAATAAAAACGGACGAAACACGCTTCAACCATGTCATGAGTGTTGGAGTTGTATAGTTTGTCCACCAGAGGGCACTCTACACCGTTCCTGTTGGCAGCACTCGTTGAGTTGGTCACGATACATACATTGCTTGAATAACAATTAAAAGAACATCTCCATCAGTTCTCTGAACTCAAATAAGCATGACAAAATTTGTGACTATCATGTCCAGTTTAAAAAAAAATAAAATAATCGGCCGATATATCGGATTTTAAAACCCAAAAATATTTGTATCGGCCTTCAAAATCCTTAAAAAATACATGCCATCGATATGACAATGTCTCAGCAGCGTCTTAGGTTTGCTTATCTCCCTCGATAAACCACGCTCGCGCATTTTCCCCCGGCTTCAGCGTCATCATTACGAAACGGCATTGATTGCGGCTTTTGTTCACACAGGCAATCTTACTAGATCCCCAATCCGGCGTCAATCCCGGGTCATGTTTGCGCTCACACAGAAGACGTTCTGGCAATTTCCCGGGATCAACGCGCTGTGTGAAAGGGGGTTTAAGTCGCTTTGGATAAAGGCGTCTACCAAATGCATAATGTAAATGTTCATGGCTTTTCTGTGTGTGTGTGAGTGTGTGTGTCAGAATCTCTGATTATTAATGGGCAAAATGTCAACGCTGGCTCCCTTTTACAAAGATTTTGTGCGGTTTCAGGGCAGGAATGAGGAAAGACACTCGCGGGATGATTCTGTCCTTCAGCAAACTAAACAGGACACAATTACTGCAGTAGGAAGATAAACTGACACCAACACACATCAAGCTGCCGTTTCTCCTGATAAATGACCTGCGTTCCACCAAACTGCTTTATAAATGCACAGCTGAAACCTGAGAGTTTTCAATCTCTGTGTGTGTGTTCTCTATTCACCCAACAAAGACAATTCTGCCATCAGTTACTCAAAAAAAAAACATGCATGACTTTTCTGAGAAACATCCAATAACGTACCATTTGTGTTCAACAGAAGTCATAAGGTTTGTAAATCAAGAAATATTATGACTGCTTATGGTATGAGTGTGTGCGAACTGTTTTCATCGCAATGTCAAATCTAGAACGCACTGAAAGCATTGCCACTGATACACTTCTGTTATCAAAAATTTTAGTGAGCAGAGCAAATATTGCAGCAAACATTTTATATACTGTATTTGCCATCACTGAATTGCCAGAAGTCATAAAGTCATATCAGTCACTAATGATTATACCATGGTACTCTACTCTCTAATGTATTGTACCCTTTGATGTCACTATGATATTTTAATTGCTATGACACTAAAATTATGTATTCTTGAATTTAAATCATCGTTTTCCAACGTACTTTCAAGAATACTACAGCATTATCGTATCGTGGTACACGTCCAAAACTTGGTAATGCCATGTAACTAACTATCATAGTACACGACACGTCCAATTCTATTATAGTACATGTCCAAATGCATGGTAATACCACAGTACTATAATATGTGTCCAAAAGCATGGTAATACCACAATACTATCATAATACACATCCAAAACATGGTAATACCACAATACACGTCCAAAACATGGTAATATACTATCATAATACACGTCCAAACACATGGTAATACCACAATACTATCATAGTACAGGTCCAAAAACATGGTAATACCACAATACGTGTCCAAAAAAACATGGTAACACCATGGAACATTTACCACAGTTTTTGGACATGTCCAAACACATGGTAATACCACAATACTATCATAGTACATGTCATGGTAATACCACTATACTATCATAGTAAGTCCAAAAACATGGTAATTAGACAATACGTGTCCAAAAAATATGGTAACACCATGGAACATGTACCACTGTTTTAACAAGTTTTTGGACAGGTCCAAACACATGGTAATACCAAGTAACTTTCATTATACGAGTCCAAAAGCACGGTAATATCATGGTAAACATGGTACTTTTCAATAAGTGATGTCCTACGTGTCCTACCATGGTCTTACCATGGTTCATAATATACATATTCATGGGTTATGGCAGTTAAGATATTAGAAGACACTTCAAGAATACAATAAAACTGCTATATGACTTTGTGAGAAATACAGTGAGTGAATCTTGTGCCTTTCTATTCAACACACACGTTGTTTAGCCGCTTTAGCTTTTGTAGGCACGAGTTTATCTCTCTTACACAGACACACACACACACACACACACACACACACGAGAATAACTGATCTAACAGCCACACAAATCAAACCCAACAGATCAATCACAAACCTCTCATCAATAAAAACACAAACGTCTCCTCTGTCGCTGTCAAATGATCAGTATACCGTTTAAAGACACTCAAGGTTTGCTAGCAGAGCTAACGGCGGATATGACAAAGAACAGTTAGCATTAGCATTCAGACTGATTTAATTGTAAAGAAATGTAAACAAACAAAAAATAACAAACTCACACAAGAATATATATTTGTGACATGAAACATCCAAAATACACCTGAGATAAAACGTAAAAAGCGCCAAAAATCAACCAAAACACACGTAAACCGTTTTTAAAAAGAAATCTAAATCAACACGTGTAACTTACATATTAATGTTTCATTTTAAATAGCCATAATTAAATAAATCACACTCTTGCACCATTACAATGACATTTAAGGTGTGCAAACATGGAATAAAGCCATGAGGTCAATGCAGTGCTAATCCTGACGGCTAAAGCTAAAGACACAAGATAAGTGGCAGCACAAATATCCTTCACAAAATACATAACACATAATAAAAATGAGCACTTACCCCCCAGAGGATCCAGCCCGATCTAGATGCATGCCATAGATCCAAAACACACGAAAAATAGCCCTCCAAGAAAATGTGCAGGGGTTACACACACACATACGGACTCATCATGCACACTCACATTCATGCACACTCACATTCATACACACACACACTCACTCACTCACTCACTCACACACTCACACACACACATTCATACACACACATACATTCATACACACACACACACACACACACACACACACACACACACACACACACACACACACACACAAACAAACACACAAACACACTTGCTGTAGATCCAAAGACAGGCCGGTTTCACTGGACTGCAGCCATCAAAACAGTCCAGATCTACTCCAAATCCAGTGCAACCAGCACAAATACCAGCTGGAAAAACGACATTCACCTTCGGTTTCAGAACAACAAGTCTCCTTAATTCTCAACGCAGTACAATCCCAATGATCAGAGTATGTCCCGAATATCTGCAGTCACTCACACACACAGTTCCTCTGCTTGAGCTCTAATGGCTCTTTACGCGTGTTTGCTTCTCTCACCGTGAGACATTGAAGCAATGCAACCCGACATGAGCTGGTTCGCGGCCCGGAGACGGGGATCCACTGGAGCGGAGCGACTGAGCCGGAAAACCCGGAGCTGGACTTCGGTGGATCTGGGTTTGAGATGCGAGGAAAGAAAGAAAGAAAGAAAGAAAGAAAGAAAGAAAGAAAGAAAGAAAAAAGAAAGAAAGAAAGAAAGAAAGAAAGAAAGAAAGAAAGAAAGAAAGAAAGAAAGAACAGTAGTTTAATAAATCAAAGAAAGAAAGAAAGAAGTTTAATAAATCAATCAGGTTTATTCCTAAAACACACATAAATAGGCTACCCCATGCAGGAATGATTACTGTGAAATGTGGTTATTTATTTAAGTAATGTTTAATAAAATAGAAAAGAAAAATCTAATTTAAAAATATAGGTAGGGTAATTGAAATATTGAACTTGATTGAATAATTACTTCAACTTTTTAAATTATACACATTTTAAATGTACACTCTAAAAAATGCTGGGTTGTTTTAACCCAACTTTGGGTCAAATATGGGAAAAAACTTGCCATTGGGATATTTTTTTTTATTACATTTTTTAACCCAACGTTTGGGTTTCTCCATATTTGACTCAAAATTGGGTTAAAAACAACCCAGCATTTTTAGAGTGGGTCTGTCTATCTGTCTGTCAATATATCTGTCTGTCCGTCTCTATTTCTTGTATGTTTTATATTATAATTTAATATTTCTTTAGTTTAGATTATATCAGACACTTTTATCAGTATTTTCACAGCAAAAATCACTGACCAGTTGAGGAACACAGAGCTTGTATAGTTTAAACCAAATCAAATAGAACGGCTCATATCAAACGCCGTGTTTTATTACTCTTATCATCAGACACTGTGATTTAAAATCCCTTTCATCGATAACCTCACACTGCATAACTGTGAGGATCGATGTCACATCTGATGTTTGTCACACAGCGGCAGGAACCCAGAGAGCAAGAGCGCAAGCGTTACGACAAGCAGACGCGACACAGTGTCTGTCACAGAACAAGAAATGATAATCTCCTCTGTTTACTCAGGGCTCCGGGTGACGGGGAAATAGAGGCATTCCAAGCCAGTTGCCTCGGCAACAAGGATATGATAGAGAGAGAGAGAGAGAGAGAGAGAGAGAGAGAGAAGCCGGGGGAAGTGAATTAATGGGATAATTTTCACACTGTGAGGGAGGCAATCGTTCCTGCTATACTTCATCTTCCCATGGCCACTACATCCAATCCTTCACACACACGACACAAACCGCCTCCATCTCAGACTCATGGACAAGGGAAATATTACATCATGAAATGTGAATGATCAGAATTGCATGATGTCAATAATAAGGCATACAGCTGGTGTTAAGCTCTAAATCTTATAGTAACATCTTACATACAGATATCACAATTATATGAATAGCCATAACTTTTACATATACATGCATTTAGCAGATTTAGCGATTTGCATTGTGTTCAAACTACATTCACACAATATAAGATGAAGGAAACAAAACAGTCTTTTAATTGTGAATTCAAACAAGGAAAACAGAATAAACAACCACTTCTACACTGTAAAAAAAATGATTTGTAATCACATTTTTTTTCTTTTGTCAAATCAACTTAGATAATTTATGTAGTTCAGATAACATAATATTTAGAGTTTCTTGCGATTAAATTAATCTCCTTTATTGTATTAACTCAATTTTTCCATTTCAATGAACTTAAAATTTGAATGCAACCAGGTTACTAATTTTTTAAGTTAAACCAACAATATGTTTTAATAGTGTAGATGTTAAACACTATAAGGAACAGACTGAAACTGTGGATCAAGAGGGCAAACAAAAGAGCTAACGAGTTCATTAATAAAGCACAGATGAATCAATGAGATAAACGGAAAAAACTGGCCAACGGAAAACAAAACATAACCCTGACATCACAGAAAAATTAATATTTAAGGATTCTGGTGCTTCAGACGCCATGTAGCAACAAAAACAGGAAGTTCTTAGTCAATAAGTGTATACTTAAAACTCATCTTTGATCACCAAAATTACATATTTAAAAGTTATTTCATTGTAAAATCATTTCCTTATGTCTTAAATAGCTTGAATGTAACTCAACACCCTATACGCGCTTCTATGAATATGCAAATGAGCCCCGCCTCCACTCACTCCCCTCAGCTCAGAAATCCATGCTTTGATCTGATTGATTGGTTTCAAGGTCATTTGTGAAGTCAGAAGCACCAGCGATTTCAAATGAGGCAAGGGTGTCAGGTTACATTCAAGATATTTTAAGGCGGTGTCGGGTTACATTCAAGATATTTTAAGGCGGTGTCGGGTTACATTCAAGATATTTTAAAGCGGTGTCGGGTTACATTCAAGATATTTTAAGGCGGTGTCGGGTTACATTCAAGATATTTTAAGGCGGTGTCGGGTTACATTCAAGATATTTTAAGGCGGTGTCGGGTTACATTCAAGATATTTTAAGGCAGTGTCGGGTTACATTCAAGATATTTTAAGGCGGTGTCGGGTTACATTCGAGATATTTTAAGGCGGTGTCGGGTTGCATTCAAGATATTTTAAGGCGGTGTCGGGTTACATTCGAGATATTTTAAGGCGGTGTCGGGTTGCATTCAAGATATTTTAAGGCGGTGTAGGGTTACATTCGAGATATTTTAAGGCGGTGTCGGGTTACATTCGAGATATTTTAAGGTGGTGTCGGGTTACATTCAAGATATTTTAAGGCATTTCAAGGAAAAAACATGAAGTTATGCAATTTTGGTGCTAAAATTATTGACTGCTCTGGCCTTCTCTCATTCTCAATCCGTAATTGTCACGAGAAAATACATTTCCACTCTTATCTGTGTTTTCCGTGGTCAGCGCAGCGTTTGCTATGCTAATTAATGAGTAATTGCGGTGAGATGTGTGAGGTTGGAGGAGGGGAAGCTAATGAGGTAAAACATAAGCTTGAATCCTTCCTGTGTTCAGTGCCATCTGTGGAGCATTATGATGGTAACGCGCTGGATCTTGTGCAGATGTGGCATTGTTTCGCTCCTCCGCGGACTAATTTGACGGCGAACAGCAACAAAAGGATGCATCCGCCGGTTGTTTTTTTTGTTGCGTGCTGTACGTGAAGAATCAAAGGCATGTTTAGACAGACCTCAAATTACCTCCACATTATACAGCGATGTGCATGAAAGCAGCACTCAACCCCAGAGCCAGAGCTGTGCCGACAGGTGCAAGAGCACAACACCTCACTGTCAATGGACGAATCTGATGATACACACGTGCTCGGAAATGGCCTTTGTGTGGGGGAAATAACGCTTGAAGAAATGCATTTTAATTAAACTGGAAAAATGAATGGAAAAGAGTGAACATGCTTTTTATCAGATTAGTGTGTGAGAGAGATTGATATTCAAGGTTAGTGTTAACCTTGTTTTCATTTAGGCCTAGTTAAAACTAGGCCTAAATGAAAACTTAATTATTAATTAGAACTAAATGGTGGGAAACCCTAAAAGGATCTACATGAAGTGCCTGACAGAACCTTCTAAGGTTCTTTATAGAATTATAATACAGTGCATTTGAATTTTTTATTATATTATATTCAACTGAGAAACAAGAATTTTACACTGTAACATATTTTAGTATATGTTTTACCAGAAAAACATCACTTAATTAAATGTGTTACTTGCCATTTCTTTGTAATTGTTTTTGAAACGAACAATATCGGAGTGAAACCTGTTTCTACACTATTTCATTTTTCAGTGTAGTGATTACACATTTCGACTGAAGCTCATCTGAATTAGTTCTACATCATTAAGATTCTTTAGGAGGAACGAGTTATTGACTAACTGGACAGCAATGCAGCTGTCTGTGGTTTTGGACAGAGTTTGAGTCTTTAAACGTTTGTAGAGAGATGAGCCTCACACACACACACACACACACACACTGAGAGCTCCAGCTGTGTTCTCTCCTCAGAGTAAAAAGCTTGTCAGATATCACAGAAAACTCAGAGCCCAGAGGCCCCAGACAGTCAAAAGTTCACACACTAACCTTGAATATAAATCTCACACACACACTAATCTGATAAAAACAAGAATACTGAACGTTCTGTCAAGGTTTAGTCAAAGTTACGAACTTTATCTGGTCTTTAATAACATCATCAAAACGTTAAAATATAGGCTATATTTGTGGAATGTTATTTTTCAAAAATGTTTACCGGTTTCGGAATGTTCAGAGAACATTCAAAAGTAACATCCCATAATGATTGAAGAATTCCAGTGGAATGTTCCTTTAACGTTCTAAAGTAACATTAAAGTTTAAAATTTGGAATATACAGAGAACATTGCATTTTAAGTTTTCATAACTTAATTGGAACATTAGCAAAACGTTCTTAGAACATATTTGCAGCCGTTATAGTGTGTGTGTGTGTGTGTGTGTGTGTGTGTATATACACTCTAAAAAAATGCTGGGTTGTTTTAACCCAGTTTTGGGTCAAATATGGACAAACTCAAACATTGGGTTAAAAATTTAATTTAAAAATGTAACCCGATGGCTGGGTTTGTCCATATTTGACCAAAATTGGGTTAAAAC